CGCTCCGACTCTCTTTCCGATCGTATTTGCTGTTCCTTTGGAAATACTCTGTTAGGAAACCACACAGACACAGTGTTTGAGAAGTGGGTTACCCAAGTCACTTGCCAGGCTTCGAGGCTTCAGGATGGGTTCTTGAGCTTGGAGCACCCGACCATCCTGGCTCACCCAGGAGCGAAGGGTTTCCTGAGACATGACTTCCACCGCTAAGACTGTGCCTGTCGTAGGCAGACAGACAAGTTGGCTGGCCTGTCCCACCTGGCTCAGCGTCTTCACTCAAGCGCCCCGTCACAACTCCCTCAGCCGTTGATTGGCCAGGGACAGGCCAGTCAGGGCCTTCCCTGGGTTTCTTCGCTTGGTTTGGTGGGCCACTCCCTCTCGTCTCCCAGCTAGCAAGTTTGGGAGGGTGGAGCTGGACCACAGTGGCCGTGGGCCATTCGCTCTGCTTTCCAGAGAGAAGATGGAGAGCATGAACCCAGACAGGAATTCTGTATGTGGACATGCACGCCGGCCTGTACATGTGTGTGCGCGCACATGTGTGTGGATGTGTGTACATGTATGTGTGCATGTGCACATGTGTGTGGATGCGTGTGTGACCTGCAAGCCCACCCTCCCACCATAGCTCCTGCTGGTCACTGGGACAACCAGGCTTGGAGACGCTGGGAGTCTGGGAGGACGCGCTGGGCGGTCAGGCCCCATGCTCTACCTGCCGGGCAGAGATGACTGCAGGGCCGAGGAGGCCGTCGAGAAGGTACTTAGATGCCATAAATATTTCATGCCAGCCAGGGCTTCTTCTGTAGCAATGTGTACCCAGGATTAGTTTTATACATTCCGCTCACATCACAGTATCCTTCAGCAAGGTTAATCCTGTCCTAATGCGAGTTTAAAAATTAAATCCTCTCCGATGAGCAAATGCCCCGTGCAGCCTCAGCCCGTTCTTCACGCAGAGTAAACACGTCGGCACGTGGCTCTGGGAACAGCCCAGCACGCCTAACAGGGCGCCCGCCGCGGCCCCCACCCCGACTCGTGCCTCACAGGCGACAGCCCCAGCCCAGGCAGAGTGTGCTGGCCAGGCTAGCGGGCAGCGGCTCGTCGGCAAGTCTGGATCGGGAGCAGGCCAGGTGTGCGCTGCGTCCCAGGAACAGAGAGCAGCGGGGGACAGGATTTTAGGGACGACCAGCTTCCTTTAGGTGAGAGCACACGCCTGGGTTTCCCTTGCCTATTCAACAGCTTTAACTTATGCACGAGACCGAACAAGAGCAAGCCAACAAAGGTGAAGCCAAGCCTCCCCTCTCCCCGATCCATTCTCCCTGCGTTTCCAGAAGGGGAAGGTGACCCCACGCCACGCAGCGCTGAGGGGGGAGTAAGGCGCGTCTCCCGTCCCGGCCTGCAGACTCGATGAAGGCGGCGTCTCAGCACGCGGCCCTGCGCGCTCCTCCAGCCCTGCGGACACCGGAGACTCTGGAGGGGATTGTCTGCCTCCTGAGAGATCGATTCCCATTTGCTCTGGCATGAACCATTACCCTGCAAACACTGGCTGTCCGTCCTTAGATGCCTGCAGAAACGCAGCTCCACATTACTCTCTGGGAAGCCAAAGGGCACTGGGGGTGAGGAGCACCCTAGTCTGGGCCGGCTGAGCCCCGGGCACTTCTAAGTGCGAGTTCTCCTCCCCCGGGCCACACCACGCCCCGCGCTGCCCCACGCTCCCTTTTGAGAGCTGCTGGTGTTTTAGAGTACTGGGTACCATAAAGCACTCCCTTCCGGGCCCGCAGAGCCATAGCCCTGCATCCAAGGGTCCTGAGACAGGCCTGGAGTCGGGAGGCCCCCACAGCCTCCTCAGCACGTGTGTTTCTGTGACGGCTTCAGAGAGGTGAACTCCCCTCCGTAAAGCTTACCCGTTCAAAGTGTGCGACTCCATGGTGCGTAGTGTGTTCACAGAACGTCCACGCGTCACCGCGGTCTAGTCTTGAACATTGTCTCCACCGCAGAGGAAACCCCTTCCCACCCCCCTGCCCCGCGACCAGCCCCTGCCTCATTGGGACAGCTCGCCTAAGCAAAGCGCGTCCTGGGCTGGGGAGTTCATTGGGCGGACACTCATGTCCTCCAGGGAAGCCTGTCACCAGGATCTGGGGACCAGTCTGCTTCTGCCTTTCAAGCTCGCTAGCCCACACCCTGGCCCTCCAGGAAGAGACAGGAAACGATGCTGGGGAGGTTGGGGAGAAACGGCACCGTGGCCTGTCCCCCAAGCGTCCTGCCTGGAGTGGGGTGTTGGAGGCAGTGCAGCCTGGGCGGGGTCGATCATGGTGATAGCATTACGGGGCCGCCCTCCTGGGCAGGCTGACGGTGGCCTTCGCGCCCGGTAAGCTCTGGTCTCAGGGGACTGGCTCTCCGCGAAGCCGGTGGCTCTGAGCCTGCAGCAGCTGCTCTCTGCTGGCATCCACACTGCCCTCTGTGCTCCCTGCTGCCAGCCCCCCTTTGACATCCCACCTGCTGGAACCCCTGTTCCTCATAGACCACCCAGTCTCAGGTACTTACGCGAGCGGGGCAGTAATGAGCCAAGCGGAGGCGGGGTGCCCCTTGACTACCAGGCTCTGAGTACGTGTTCTAGTCCCTGGGCTCCTCCAGCTCCTGTGCCCTGGGGCTGGCCGCTTGTGGGAGCACACACCAGCTCTGCTGGGGAGAAGCCAGATCATGTGTGCAGATGTGTACACACGTGTGCTTCTTCCTGGTTCAGTGACCCGTTTAGGAAGAGGCCAGTAGGACCACGGGTACAGCGCCTGTCTGTGCTTACTGTGGGCCGTCAGCCACCTCCAGGGTGGGCACCACCCCTCCTGGCCAGCAACGACTTACCCACACGCGTGGTGTTAAAGAGGTGCCATGGGACCAGCAGATGGCATAGTGGCTATGTCGCTGGGCTCGACGTAGTCGACCGCGGTTCGAGTCTCGGACCCAGTGGCTTAAAACTCACATTGGGCATGTGTACATGTGCCCAAGATCTTGAAAGAATGGAGAAGGGACTGTGGCATGGCCATCCCCCTGGGGGGTGATTTCTCTCTTTCTGACTCTCAGTCTGTCTGGCGAGTGCACGTGCCCTACAGCAAAAACCTCTCTTTAAAAAAAAGGTGCCACGAGAGCTGGCCAGAATGCAGTAAGTACCTAGGGCCTGACCTAGCAGCAGCTCGCCTCTGCCACGAGGCGCAGAGGCCCGTCCAAGTAGAGAGAGACCCTGGGAGGCCTGGGGGAGGCGCCACGTGTCTCCAAAGGAGCCCATGAATTCGACACCAGCGTGCCTTCCGAGTACCCCCGAGTGACCTAGATTCCCACAGAGGGGCGTGGTCCACGGCAGTCGAAGGAGAGTAGAGGCGGCCTCTGCCGAGATACCAAGGCGCCCTGTGTGTTGGGGGAGGGACGCCATGCGGCAGGGTGCGAGACCCGTGGGCGAGAACCAGGAGTCGGGGTGCCCTGGCGCTGACGGTGTGTGGGGAGCTAGCACCCAGTAACGGTGGCAGCGCAGACCCCGTGGGGAAGGACAGGAGGATCCGCTGACGGTTCTGGCACAGCCGCCCCGGGCGGAGGGTGGGAATGAATCCCCGCGTGGGTTTCAGCAGAGGACTACGTGGGGGAGGGCCAGACTGGGAGCAGAGAGGACGCACTCAGTGAAGACGCCGGGGACTAAGAGGCGTGGAGGGCAGGAAGCGCTTCTAAAGGAAACTTTACAAGTAAACTCATTAGCTCAAAAACTCTAAGGACAGAATCAGGGGCCGGCCGGCTGAGGGACAGAGACATGGTGATGCCACCACCGAAGGCTCCCAGGTGGCTCGAGTTCCCGGCGTGAGCAGTCAACGGACAGTAGCCACGATAAGGGGGAAAGGGCGAAAACTCTGAACCAGCCATTCACATGAGTTAGGTGGTTTGTCCCTGAGCTACTGTGTGTGGGCAGTGTCCACTCACGCAGCAGCTGGAAAGCCGGCGAGGGAGGCAGTGGGTGGGGTGGGACCCCACAGGTTCCCCGGGACCCGGGGGCGAGAACCAGGAGTCGGGGTGCCCTGGCGCTGACGGTGTGTGGGGAGCTAGCACCCAGTAACGGTGGCAGCGCAGACCCCGTGGGGAAGGACAGGAGGATCCGCTGACGGTTCTGGCACAGCCGCCCCGGGCGGAGGGTGGGAATGAATCCCCGCGTGGGTTTCAGCAGAGGACTACGTGGGGGAGGGCCAGACTGGGAGCAGAGAGGACGCACTCAGTGAAGACGCCGGGGACTAAGAGGCGTGGAGGGCAGGAAGCGCTTCTAAAGGAAACTTTACAAGTAAACTCATTAGCTCAAAAACTCTAAGGACAGAATCAGGGGCCGGCCGGCTGAGGGACAGAGACATGGTGATGCCACCACCGAAGGCTCCCAGGTGGCTCGAGTTCCCGGCGTGAGCAGTCAACGGACAGTAGCCACGATAAGGGGGAAAGGGCGAAAACTCTGAACCAGCCATTCACATGAGTTAGGTGGTTTGTCCCTGAGCTACTGTGTGTGGGCAGTGTCCACTCACGCAGCAGCTGGAAAGCCGGCGAGGGAGGCAGTGGGTGGGGTGGGACCCCACAGGTTCCCGGGGGCCCAGCCGTCCTGAGCAGTCCAGCGCGGCTGTCAGGTGCAGTGTTCGCAGCCTGTGTGGCTTGGGGATCCCAGTCTGGGAGCTCAGGGAGGCCCTGGCATGTGGCTCTGGGGACTCCAGTGCAGATCGGGGTCTTGGTGGTGGCGGGCGGGGTGAGAGGCCACCCGGAACCGGGAAGGGATGGGTAGGAGGTGGTGGACGCACCCCTAGGACAGTGACCAAGTGACCTGGCAGCTGGAAGCAGAGAACTGCATGTAAATATGTCACCACAGACAACAGCACGAGCCACACACGTCGCAGGCTTTGGGACGGTGGGTGCGCAGAGCGAGGGGAGGCAGACGCAGTGTGTCTGGGTCACACACGCCGTGGGGACAGGCTGTGAGGACACGGTTAGAGCGGAAAGCTGTCCACTCCGCATGTGATGGCGATGCTTAGGCATGGAGAGGAGTGGGGACAGGTGGGGACAGGTGGGGACATGAGGACGAGAGCAGAAGGAGTGGGCAGGGCCAAGGCTGGCTGATGCTGACCCAGCCCCGAGGCCTGTGGATGAGGGCCTGTCCCCTCCATGGTGCTGGCAGGGCCCCCAGTGTCCTTGTGCCCCACTCTGCAGCAGTGTCCCCACAACGACCATCAGAAGGGTCCCACTTGCTCGTCCCTGGAGACCCTAAAAGAGGACTGGCCTGCCATGTGGGTGGCCCCCTTGTTGGTGGGGATCTTTTTGGAGGACACCATCACCTGGTGGGGAGGTGGGACAGTTGGTGGGGGAGGCCGGGGAAGCCCGAGCCAGACCTGGTTCTGAGGTCCCGGAGAAGGCTTCTAGGGCTCCACTCCACTCAGGTCTCCCCCACGGGCCTGGAGCTCAAGGTCCAGCCCTGACACCGAGGGCACTGGGCTTTGCTGGGGAGGTCAAGCTCCGGCTCCCCTAAACACTGAGGTTTGGTCAGGATCACACACCATTCATCTCACTGGATGCTGGACCAGAGAGTCACCTGACGCAGTGTCCTCCGCTCCAGCTGTGGCTGGCCGCGTTACAGGGTGGCGTGCTCTGTCCTGGGTCCCATGCGGCCACGCCTGGGAGCTGGCTGTGACTGAGCAGAAGGCCCCTCCGTCTGGGGCTCCTTGTGGAATAGTCTCTCTCTCTCAATGCTTCAGAGGCTCACCTCGGGCTGCAGCCCTCGAATGTCCTTCCCTGAGACAGCTGGACAGCGACTTGCAGCAGTACAGGGGACACGGACCTCCACGGTCCAGTCTGTGAGCGCTCTGCTCACCCCCCTTGGAAGTCAAATGTGGCACCTGCTCTCTAAGGCGCACCACCCCAGCGAGGCAGCCTGGCCCCGCATGGCCAGGCCCACCCAGCGAGGCAGCCCGCACCACATGGCCGGGCCCAGTGCCCTTTACGGCTCCTAGGCCCCTCCCCGGGAAGCCACCGCCTGACTGGCACGCTCTGCCCTTCTCTCCACGTCACCACGGCTGTGTGTGGCCTCCCCCACCCCAACTCCCCACTCAGAATCTACACCGGCTGGCCGAACAACAAGCGCCTCACTAGCTGCTCTCACCCCATCCGTGGGCCTCCATCAGCGCTGCTCCTGCATGAAGCTGCGGTTTGGTGTCTGCCGCTGCACGGGGTCAGCGCGAGCGCTCTGCCAGGTGGCCCCTGCCCTGAGCACAGCTGCTGAGCGGGACGAAGCCGGATGAAGCCGGACGTTGCAGCCCTGGAGCGTACTGCCCGTGACAAGAAATGGGAGTGGACAGTGTCACAGAATGGCCGCCCCCTGATGGGCGCCCTCGGCGTCCCCTG